TGGCAGACGGCAAACAATTTTTTCAATTTTGTGTTTTAGAGATAACAATGACGCAAACTGAAAAATTGAAAGGAAAATGTAGATGGATATTAAAAGTGGGTCCAGAGAATATCGATGGACAATATTCGTGGCGCCATGGTGTTTTTATTTATTTTAAAAATAAAAATAAATTAAAAAGTGCTAATAAAATAATTGTGGTAAAAGTGGTAATTTCTTTATTTCTAAATTCATGCGACAAAATTCAGGAGGTGATTGCTCGTATGAAATTAAGATGGGTCTTTCCTATAACAAAATTTCTTCAGCCCACCCCTTTCCGAGATATCACCCTTAAAAGGTGGTGACTAAAATTGTTTTATTCAAATAGAGCATAATATATAATTTTTTGCTGTTTTTATGTATCTATCGTTTGATTAAATTTAAACATTATGGATCTAAGTTTAAAATGCTACCACCCCATTTTAAATGCTGATCAATCTCTACTCTACTGATCTTTTTATTATTATCTATTACAGATAGTTTATTTATATTTGATAAACCATTTTCATTACAAAAAACTCTCTAAAATTTTGTTTTATTCAAATTTATCGTAAGACTTATATCATCAAAACATTTTTTTTTTATTTTAAGTCATTTTCTGCATTTTGTTTAACGTCAGTCCACTAATATAGAAAATAATTATAGTGTTGATGACAAAAGATAAAATATTGGCATTAAAGCCATGTGTAAGCAGGCAGTTCATGTAAATTAGAAACAATACTGGTCTCGGGACTGTGTCTTAGGGTTTACTAGTAACAATTTTTTGATCTGCTATTCCCCTAATAATCAAGTTATTGTGATTGACATTATCAAATGCCTTTTGCATTTCCAAAAATATACCCAATTTACATTTTTCTTTATTTATTAAATTATAAAACCGATATTTTAAATATGCAATTGCATCTTCGGTATAGACTTTTAAGGTTTGGTTTTTATAAATTAAATGATCTTTTTTTAAATGACAGATTTTGTACCATTAGTAATTTAGTCTGATTTGATAATAATTGCTTATTTGAAATAAAAAGTTATGTTTTCAAGAATTGTGTTTGCTATGTACTATAAATGTTGACAAACAAAAGCTTTATGTGTCTAATTATACTGACTTTTCAAATTTTTTATCAAACTCATCACCTCAGTGACATCATCAAAATATTGACACATTTAAAAATAGTTTTTTTGCCACTGGACTTCCTATTACATGAATAATAAATGTCTATGAGCTTTGTTATATATTTGATGTGAGTCATTATGTTGAAAAAATGCCAATTGGCATCTCAAAAAATGTTTGTAAGCACCTAAAATCATTTATCAATAATTCAACATAAATATTAATTATATTTTCAAACAAAATTTTATCTTTTTATTGAATTTGTTCTAACAAAATTGAAAAACAGGTCTTACGCTTTATTGGGCATTCTTCGTTGACCATACTCCAAAACACTCCCTGTCAAATATTTTTGTGACCCACATATCGAGTGACGCTCTTGAGGATAATAATAGCTGACTTCCCTTTTTGTAAACAAATGTTAATAAACCACAGAATATTAACTTATTTTGTTTGTACTGACTAGATTGCGTTGAAAGGTTGTTATGTTATCAAAATTGTATTTGTAGGGTATCGTGTAATTAATAGGGAGCGAATGAAAATGTTCAAAACTAGGACATGGAAATTTTTCCATTGTAAATATTTGATTATATTAGTGAGAAAATTTATTAAATTGTAGATTTTTAAAATCGTGTTATTCTGTACCTTATTAAATGATTAAATATTATCAAATTTGGAAACGTACACTGAGAAATAATTTTGCTAGTTGATATTAAATTTTTTAATACTGTACATCAGGAACTAGATCTGGTTCTGGAGACGACAGGGAAAAAAGCAGAGCTGACAGAGCAACTTAAAGAAGCATTAGGAAGTAAAGGTTTGGATTCGGATGATGCTTCTTCCATAATTACTTCTTTGGAAAGTAAAATGTCTTCCAATCAGCATATTCAAATAATGTCAGACAGCCAAGTACCAGGTCACCAAGGGATCGAAGGCAACGAAAAGGCTGACGAACTTGAAAAAAGAGGGTCAGAAGAAACACCGGAACCAGACACAAACCCAGGAGTACCAAAAAGTACAGTCCGGGGTTTCATAAACGACTGGATTCTGGAACAACATATTAACTATTGGGGAAGTACCCCAGAATAGGCACATGGAAAAGCCTTCATAGGCAGACCCAAAATAACTTGAGAACTACTCTTTATGAATAGGAACCAGTTGAAAGTGATAACAGGGTTCATGACTGGACACACCCCAGTAAAGGGACATTTGAACAAAATTGGTATGTACAATGGCGAACTCATGTGCTGACTATATCACAAGAAACCAGAAACGTCCAAACACATACTGTGCGAATGCGAAGCTCTAGATTGCAAAGGACAGGCACTTTTTAAAAAACCCCAGGTTGATCCAACAACGTATAGAACCCACTCACCCAAGGATCTGTACAAACTTGTACAAGGTACAAAAGTGACAGAGTGGATGCTATGAACTAACATGGGGTAAAACACAATAAGCCAATAGATTTCAGTGTTATTCGGAGACATAGTCAGACGATTCTATGAAAAGAATCAATCAAGGAACTAAATGATTTTTATATAAACTCAAAACAACATTAGTATAAATAAGCAATTAGATGAACTAAAACTGCACCTTAATTAACAGAAATATAATTATGATTGTATACTTAGTTCTTATTGAGTGGTATGAATAAAAACGAAGCTAATGCTATAATTTTAAGGATTTACAACGAAGTTTCTGCTTCATCATGAAGCATTTACTAGACTGCTTGTAGTATCTACTTTTACGTAGTATTTGCTTCAAAATGTCTACCATCTTCTCAGTTTGACTTCTACTCGAGAAATAGCAGGCTGTGACAATTTCTAAGATTTTTTTGTGTAATTTTTATTTAAAGTATTAAAGTGGTTGTGTAAAACGTCATCAGATGAAGAAATGCCCCATGTAGAAGAGTCCCAAAATAAAGACTTACAATTAGTTTTTGTTATATTGCTAGAAGATCATAAGATAATTCTGGATAAAAAAATGACATTTTTATATTATTAAATAGTGGTAGAACTTTTATAATAAAAGGCTGAAATGTATTTTATTTTTCATTCGACATTTTTTCATTCAATTATTTGTTTTTTCATTACCTTTTTTTATACAAAATTATTTCGTTCAAAATTTTTGCATTCAAAATTTTTTCATGCAACATTTTTTCATCCAATTTTTTGAAATCCTGAAATGTATTTTGTTTATTTTAACCATGCTATGCTAAGTTTTAACAATTTCTTTCTCTTTACCATTGTTCTATAATATTCAGAAACTAGTTCGATACCATTAGAATATTATAAAAATAAATCCGTATAGATTTGTTAAAATATTCTCCTATTTTTAATCGTTTTTTTTAAATCCTTAAATTTTATTTTAATCTGCAATAATAAATACTCTGAGTGTGCACTGCGAATTCAAATCACAGCCCGCAATATTTGTCAATTAATCAACCAACATCTGTTTCATATTCAAAGACAAACGATCTCGTTAACAAATCCAAGTGATGTTAGCTCAGGCGATTAAATCTTAATTTAAGATTAGACGACGCGTCCAATTTTGAAATATTAACTTCAAAAGATGGCCAAACCGAACTAAGAACAACCGAACGGCAATTTATAAGCGACCTACAACTGAAATTCGTCAAGCATTATTTCTCTGAACTTTAACTTCCTGGAGTCGCTTTGAACTTAAATTCGTTGCTGATGAGTGTAAATTCCTCTTTGTGGATTTAAGGTGAGACTTCGAACATAATCTTTATCTGCGTTTTATGAATAATCCAGTGTCTTTATTTACATTGTTTGTTAAACCGAGAGCATCAAGAATTTTATAGAAATTGCAATAATTTGGTTTCAACAGTAATCTGATGAGCTGGCTGACTGTCAACAATACGTCGAATAAATTGATACTGCTCTCAGAAAATAAAAAAAAAAGAAAATTGTTAAAGAAGGCATATGTAACAATATGTAACGATCATCTTCATATATTGAAGATCTTGGCAAATACAGGAATACGAGGGATACAGTAATAATTATTTACTAATTATTTGACAGATAATAATAATAATTGCATAGTAACTGCTACATACTTTCTTAGAAATGTGATCAGTACATGCCTGAAAGGAGAGAGATGAGTCAAAAATGGTGCCAAGGAATTTTGTTGTCTCAGAGGATGTCATAGTAAGATTTTCAGTATGTATTTCAAAAGATTTGTTAGAGTCATTTGAAATGTGAAATTTCATTCATACTGTTTTCTCATGGTTAGGAATTAAATGGTTGTTCAAACACCATTCCTTAAATCTATTGTAGAGTTGACTTAATTTATCTGCTAGTTCTTTAGGAGAATTACCATAAGTTGCGAAAGATAGATCATTAAAATATATAACCTTACAGTTTGCATCCATAAATTCTGGTAAGTCGTTAATAAACAAAAAAAATAATTGTACATTTATTAACCCATGGACCCCTTTTGCCCCAGCTATGTCCCCAGATTTAAATAGTTTGGGGCATCATAAAATTCTGGAAACACTCTAGAAGAGTCGAAGGATCGTATATAATAGCTTCCTGCGATATTATAAGAAATACTGGAGATATATTTCAAAGAATACGCGACATTAAGAACAAAAAAGCTGAAGCATGTATCCTTCAAGGTGGGGGGTATTTTCAACAACTTTTAATTTCTATGTTCTATTCTGGTTCACAAAGGTTATTACTTTCTTAACAGACGATTAATGAGAAATCATTTTTTTAAATAGTTTTATATTTTTCAATGTTTTGATATATTTTAAAACATTTTTTTTTTCAGGTTATAGCCACGCCATTTTCCTCAAATCCGAAGAGTTAAGACTCTCATCCCGCAAAACTATGTCATGATTTCAACAACAGCGTCTGTTTCTTCGACGTCCATATTCAATACAACCCCTTCTTCATCTGTAGTTGACATTAATGCAACAACCTCGAACTACCTCTACACACCGTCTGCGTCCTACGACATCATCAACAACACCAACATCACAAATTTCACTGATGGAATATACCCGGTATTTCCAAGTTACATTAGGACCACGTCAATGGTGTTTTGTATAATCATCATGTGTCTCGGCGTCATAGGTAATAAACAAAAAGTAAAACTATTTATTAGACCAGGGGCATATTCCCGACTAATTACGGCAAAATAAGACATGTAAAAAACAGTCTCCTTTCGTGCAAGTTAATTTAAAAAATGTGTACACTATCCAAGTTTTCAAAATATTTTTTGAGTCAGTATGGTATTAACTTTATGATGATACCATTTATATTGCTAAAAAGATTTACCTAACAAGTTAAACATAAATTTTATTCACACATACTTACGGGCATGCAGATCCGGTAATGTATTTAAATGTAATTCAAAATTGAAGGAGTAATATAAAAATTCTTGTATATAAATAAATTCTTCAAAATTTTTTGTATTCTACACTCTATCATTGTTGTAAATAAACACGTAAAAATATTGGAAAATAGCCATTTTGTCACTAAATCTTAGTTCAGTACAATTGCCGCGAGGTGTTACCCGAAACTTTAGTAACTTTCTTCTTTTAAAATAAAAAAATGGTCTACTATTCATATATTATCCAGTAAAACCAGCTGATCGGAGGCAAACGAAACACAAAACTATAAAATGATATCTCGTCGCAGCTTTAAAAAGTAAAATTTGAAAAGCAATTTGCAAAGTGAAAATGAAAAATTAATAATCTGCAAAGATAACGATATTATTTTATGAAACACAAGTATTTTGCACTCGTAAATTTCCAAAGTGGAAAGTGAAATGTAGCAAAGTAGTTTTATGAAATAGGCCCCTGATTATAATAAAAATTAAAATGAGTCCGTTCATTCCATTTTGCTTGATCCAAACTTCCAAAAATTGTAATTACTAGGTGTATTAAAATTTTTAACAAACATTTTTGGAATTATCTCTCTTTAAAATACTATAATATGCATTGGTTGATTCTCATTCAAAGAAGCTAGTAGTAATCCAAAAGTTATTCTTTAAAACAAAGCTTTAGAGAACTAGAACTTACCTGTCAAATGATCTTTATCAAGAGACAGAGCTCCTAGATTTAAGACAAACATTTTTCTTAAAGTTTTTATATTTATTAACTAAAGCAACATATACATATGTCATACTCATTAAAATAGTTATACGAATTCTGAGAAATTAATGATACTGCCATGGGAATGCCTAAGCCGTCCCTGTAGAGCGCGACCTTCAGCCTGCCACTCGACTCATGGTCGAAACACCGCCGACGTATAGAAATAAACGGTCCGCTTCTCAAATCTACTAGAACAAGCGGTACGTGCCGTTGAGTCATAGAGATGGAATTCTAGGATTCCACATCGTCTAGAAACTTCTCGTACAGAGTTGGACTTGGTATAAATAGCGCGACTTATCGACGGACGAGTAGTTTAGAATAAAGTATTGGACTGAAAAGATAAATTCAAATAAATAAATTAGAATTGTGAGTTAGTGCCTAAGTATTATATAAATTAATTAGTGTGTTTTAAATAAATAAACTATAAATAAATTAAACTATCATCACATTGGTGTCAGAAGCGGGATTGTAAATAAATAGTGGACAATATTGGCTAAAAAACTGTGTGATTTAAAAGTGTCTGAGCTTCGTTGAGAACTAGAAGATCGTGATCTGGAGACGACAGGAAAGAAAGCAGCTGTCTTAAGGAAGCACTAAAACGTGAGGGTTTGGATCCGGAAACGTATCTTCCGTGAAAAGTGAGATCTCTTCTTTAAAAATCGAAATGTCTTCTGATATGACCTCTATGAAAACCAATATTCCTTCTGATGTATCCTCTATAAAAAATGATATTTCCTCATTAGAAATTAAAGTTTCTTCTATTTCTTCTTTAGATAATAAAGTTTAATTAGAGGTTTCTTCTATAAAAAGTGATATTACTTCCTTAGAAAGTGAAGTTTCTTCAGACATTTATTCGTTAGATAGTAAAGTTTCTTCCTTAGAAGAAAAGGTGTCTTCTGACATATCTTCTTTAAAAACCGAAATTTCTTCCGACTTTGAATACAAAATGTCTTCTGTAGAGGAGAAAATAAAACATGGACAAGAAGATAGAAGAACTGGAACATACAGAACCGACCAAAGACGGTGAAATAAAGTGCCATGAGGTGGAGTCAAAGTTGAAATTGGAAGGAGCTGTTAACTTTCCTCGTGTTAAAGCCCCAACTTTCAACGGAAAGATGTCATGGACCAACTACCTTAAACAGTTCGGGACAGCTGCGAGAGCAAACGAATGGTCTGAGAGAGAAAAAGCAGTGAATCTGACAATTCCCCTTCAAGGAGAAGCTTTAGATGTCCCTTAAACTATATCCGTGAAAGAGACAGATAATTTTGAGCAACTCAAAAAGAGACTACATATGCGATATGGCCACGAACACTTGGAGCATTTATACCAGTCACATTTAAAAAAGAATCGTAAACAGAAACGAGACGAGGCTCTTCAAGAGTATGAAGTAGATATTGCTAAGTTGTTGCGATTTGCCTATCCATCAGCTGCGAAAAACATGATACATTTGGCCTTTCAAACATTTGTTGATGGGCAATTACGCAGGCTTCTGGTGAATACAGTAAAGTGAGGACCGTAAAAGAGGAAGAAGAGGAAGGTAAACTCGACCAACTGGTAAACATAATGAAGAGCCTTACTTACAGAAAGATGAAGACGAAGACTATCAGGTGCTGGAATTGTGGTGAACTAGGACATGTACACAGTTCATGCAAACGTCCAAGGGTCACAACGAATCAAGAAAACACGTTGCAGGAAAACTAGAGCGGGTCGGCCTTGAGGGGGCAGCTTCGACCCAAAACCATTCCAAAGACTCTCTCATACTGATAGCCTCTTTGAAATGTCGCGATGATAGTGTATACGTGGACGGCAAAGTAAATGGTAAAAAGTATACACTGTTGGCGGATACTGGAGCAACTAGGACCAGTATACGACCAACAACCATAAATAACCGTAAGAAACTTGTACCAACAAGATTGCGACTGGGGACTGTCACAGGTGAAAGTGCCCCAATATCCATGGGGAAATCCAGGTTCAATTGGAAATTGTTACAGAAAAGTTTACTCATACTGTTTTTGTCGCTGATATTGAAAAAGATGTTATACTTGGAATGTATGTAATGAACTTACATGGCTTCCAGTTAGACTTTGAGAACAGAGTGATCAAAGTTTGTGCCGAAGAGGTATTTGTACATCCATATGGGGACAGTACCGTGCCAGTGGCTGTACAGGAAGATACGGTAATACCTGGTAGAAGTGAAAACATAGTAGCACGTATTCAATAAACTATGGAAGAAGGAACACCTGTTATGGAACCACGATGAAGAGGGTGGACAAAGTATCCTGATCGAAAAGGGGTTGGTCACGACTGCTAAAGAGATTACAGTTCGTCTCATAAACGTTAATGTCACCCAATTACCATCAAGAAAGAGATCAGAATCGGAACTTGTGTACCAGTAACTTCCATAATTCATCAGACAACAACTTCTGACAATTCCAACGACAAATTCGAGTAAATGTTTGCAGTTCCTGGACAACCTCTGAATCAGTAAAGAAAAAGAAAATAAAGGAATGTCTTCAACGATATCGTGATATTTTTGTACCAAAAGGAGAAAAAATAGAAAGAAATTCTCTTGTAAAACACAAAATTGACACTGGTGATGTCCGGCCGATTCGTCAATCAGCTCGAAGATTACCAAAGGCCAAGAGAGAGAGAAAGCTGAAAGGATTGTTCAGTAAATGAAGGAAGACAAGGTGATAGGACCTTCTACCAGCCCATGGGTCTCTCCGGTAGTCCTGTGTGGATTACCATCAGTTGAACAATGTTACCAAGAAAGACAGTTACCCTCTGCCTCGTAACGACAATACCTTGGACACATTGGCCAGAAGTAAACTATTCTCTACCTTAGCTTTGAAGTCTGGATAGTGGCAAGCTAAAGGTCGCGCTCTACAAGAACGGTTAAGGCATTCCCATGACAATACCTATTTTCAAAAAAAAAACAATAGGGCATAAAAGTTTTTTGGACCTACATTTTTAAATTTCTTACCAAAAGAACTATCTTTTTCTTATTATTCACTATTTTATTATAGGAAAAATATTTGTCGCTTTTATTAACTATACAAAGTAAAGATGTATATAAGTTTTTTTGATTTATGAAAACATAAATTGAACGATGTGTAAATATATATGTTGGTTAAACAGCATTGGTTATTGGTTTTGTGACATTTGCTTCTTTGTGTCACCTTTGTATTTAACATCTATCTGATGATTTCAGTTGCTATTTATCGATAGATGGAGTAAGTACTGACACTGATATTGTTCTAGGTAACGTTATGGTACCTATAGTGATTTTTAAGACTAAGGATATGCGGAATAGTACGAATATATTCTTGGTGAATTTAAGTGTGGCCGATCTGATGGTTTTATTGGTTTGTACACCTACTGTGCTTGTGGAAGTGAATTCTAGACCTGAGACGTGGGTGCTTGGAAGGGAGATGTGTAAGTACATTTTATATTATATTTAAAAAATGATTCGTTTTTATGCTTGATCTATTTGGTGGGATTGAAAGTTTTATGCCAAAATGAGCATTTGTTTAGGTTCTATAGAAGAATAACTTATAACAACTTTTATATTTTCTTCTAAATCTGGTTTATAAACAATGAAACTAGTGAAATCCTACTTTTCGTGTTAATCATAATATAATATACTAATAATTGTCAAGCTCTTAGTCAAGACTGACTAAATTCGTTTCTTTTTTTTAAATTGAAATTCATCCTTGATATGCTGTTTCAGAACTCAGAAGGCACCAGGCCAATAACTGTAATTAAAAAATTGTGACATGGTGTTATTATTTTGTTCATTTGAAAAAAAAAGGGTTACATTACAAAAAACTTAAATTTTGAAATTTCAACGGGAATCTATTTAAAATTATCTCATGTTTTATAGGGAAAAAGGGAACAAGTTAGCATAACAGCACCAGAAAGCAGATGAAATTCTCTAGTTTTTAGGCATACCAAATTAATTTAAATTTGCTCTTTTGTAAAATTATTGTTTTTAAAATATAACCCATTTTCTTCCAAATAAACGATTTATAATGGCGTTATTTTATAAAGCACATAAACATAGATAAAATTATTAATACGACAATACAACAAATCTAATCTTTTTTTTAAATTTGAGAACGAGCTTAAGTCTAACAGAGTAGCAAGGACTCTGTTCTAAAGATTCGGACCCTGAATATTTGTGTTCTACACAAGCTACTTTTCCAATTCAATTTTATTATTAGGCACAAATCTCATTCTATTCCAGAATAGTCTCAATTTATAATATTATAAATAAATAATTTATATTTTGTATAAATACCCTTGTACTGTTTCCGTTTTTCGCTCCATGTTTTCAGTGTTCGTGCGATTGTCTGTGTGTCGTTTGTTTGGCTGTGGAATCTGCATACAAAAGCAAAACGAAAACAAAGTCTTATGAACTCTCCAACAGCAAAATTTATAGTATACTATGGAATTTAATCTGTAATTGTTTGTAGAGAATCCAAGTTACATCGATATTTTCTGTCTTTGTGGATGGAACTTCGTACGGGAGACGGGAGTTTGTCCTGGTATCAATAATGTAGAAATGCTTACCTCTAAAGATTTGGGTTTTAGCCAATTCAGAGAAAGTATTGTGTATAGAGTAAATGGTTTTCGGTCTTGAGTAGGTAAAGTTTTTATATTTAAAATCTTTTAATAAGTTTAATAACTGTTACTCACTTTTTATAATAATATTAATATCTACATGGATAGAAAGAGAGAGACAGAGAATACTTGAATGGCACGTCTATTGAAGATTTTCCTTCTAAACAATTTGTATAAAAGGAACGATATTTTTAGAAGTGGGGTAGCTCAGTACTACACTTTCGATGCAAAGAAAAAGATCTATTAAGTTTAAACGAATTTTTCTCACTTTCCACTTTAGAGTCAATAAAAATTAACCTAGAAATATAATGTCAAAATTTTATGTCGTTCCTTAAAAACAATTTAACGTTAATGCGTTACAATAAACGGTTATATTTTTAGGGATTTGGTAAATTTCAAAGTTAACCAAGAGTATAACCAAATTGTTTTCTAATTTATCGTCTATACAGCTGATAACATGAACGTTTAACGTCAGGATCATCGAGTTATATAGCTTCTAGAATCTTCTTAAAACGTCTAGATTTTTCTTGGCACGGGATGACTTTTATGGACATTTTTAGATTTTTCTATCGTCTTTTACTCGTACCTTTACTTATGACCACCGCAGCACACTGTAGTGTGCAGGGTAACATTGTTTCCTCTTCTTTAATTATTTGTCCTAAATAACTTGATTACTGGTACTTGGTTACTGCCCATCAATTCTTGCTATAATGCGGATTAAAAATGCAATTCCATGGGGACTATGTCTCGCAATGATGTTCGTCATAAATGCTTCTGCTGCTGTTGTCGTGTCCTGATTAGGAATAGGCGCTATTTTGGGTCACTTTGAAAAATAGTCCAAAATAACCATCAGGTATGTGTTTTTCTTTTCTGTTAAGGGCAGTGGCCGGAAATTATCTATGGCGATTAGTTCGAAAGGCTCTCCGGAAAGGTACTGTGCCATTTTACCTCGGCTTATTATTTTGGGCCCTTTTCCGCCATTACATATGTCACATTCCTTACACCAATCTTCTACGTCCTGTCGTCAATTGACCCAATAAAATTTTTCCCGAACTCGTGCCAGTATCTCTTTAGTACCAAAGGATCTTCCTGAACGGCTGCTATGAAGCTTCTCCAACACATTTTTGACATGTGATTTCGGCAGTATCACTTGGCGGACTACATGTATTCCATCTGGGCCCTTCCACTTCAAGTGCATTATACCATCGTGAAGATACAGGGAATGCCACTGAGTTTAGTACCATTTAATAGTTCCACTATCTCTTGCAATATTTGACTTCATTTTGGAGCAATTCTTGGACAACCTTTAAGTCATTTTCTTTCTTTTGAGTCTTTCTTAGGCTTTCAAAGGTGATTCCGTCTTCGTCATCCTTTGGCTTCATAGTGGTCGCCTGAAGACTAACTTTTTCAACCGGCTCCTCTCGTTCTACAAGCCCTTTACAGTACCGGCATTGTCGTTCTAAACAGGGTCGCCTGAAAAGAATGTCTGCCTTGCTATAGAGATGACGACCACTTTAATGCACTAACTCAAAGTTATATTGTTGCAGTCTTTCTATCCATCTAGCAACTTGTCCTTTAGGTTTTTTAAAATTCATCAGCCATTGCAAGGCGCTATGGTCATTTCTAATGATAAAACTTCTGTGAAAAAGGTAAGTATGGAAGTGTTCAAAGGCTTTGACAATAGCTAAAAGTTCTTTTCTAGTGACGCAATAATTCTTCTCATCTTTTCACAAGACCTTGGCATTGATGCGAAACTGCAAAACTTATATTTGTTATTTCTTTTTAAGAAGACTTGCTCAGGCTTCTCATTTACTTTGCATGGCTTTTATTCCCAGGGGAACTATTTAAAGGTGGTAAACATTGGTTTAATTGAAATTACTTCAAAACGGATTTCTGTTGAATATTCTGTATATTAATTTTTTGGAATCTAGCAAATCAATTTTTTTAATGTAGCCATATTCAGCTCGTTTGAATGGGATATTATATATTTTCTTTTGTTTTTTTAAAAGTCGCAATTTTGATAATAATTTATATTTTTTTCAATTTTCTACACTTCATTTTTGAAAGGAACATTGTGTTGTTCATATTTTTCTTTTTTAGAATAGTAACTCGAGAAAATACTGTTTTGGCATTGTAGTGACAAATTATAAAAAAGAAAAAGTACGTCTGACCAAAACTATACATATTGTTCAAGTGGCATCCTTTGTTTTTCAGATTTAAAGACTTTCTTCTCCCTAAAGTTATACTCTTTCTACCTTTAACAATAATTATTATTCCACACCGGTAATATAATTCACTTACTCTGTGTATATTCGTCACGATTACAAAAGGTACATACCTACTACCAAAAATATTTCGATGGCACGATACCGTCGTATAAGGATACGCTATTTCGTGTGTACAAGGTCCTTTTTCTCTTCGTTCTTGCGGTGACTACATACATTGTTTCCGGTAAAATTATAGCTGAGTAGATAAAACTTTTGCTTTCACTGTTATTTCGTTATTCGTATTTGTTTTGTTCTTGAAAATCTCGAGTCAAAGTGTACGTACAATGGTATAGCGTCGATAAATCGCTTGAATTATGAGTTCGGTTATTCGGTATCAGAATAAATGGGTTTTATGTATTTGTGCAACGTTGGAATTTCCGAAAATATTTTTTTCTTCACACAGATCAAAATATTATTTATACAAAAAATAATAATGTAATGAAATAACGCCATAGACAAAAACTGGGGTACAATACTATACATTATCATAAATTATAAACAAAACTTAGTATTTAAAAATCATTGACACTGTAGGGTTCTTAGTTTATCAGTAATTGTTTAATTTCTTTTTTGAATGTGTCAATAGTTATACAATTTATTGTCAACAAAAAATTTGCATTTAAAGTTTTCTAGACAATTTATGCTATTAAAACAAATATACCTACGTTTTTGTTTAAATTTACAGACTTGAAAAAATTAGAAATACCAAGAATAAAAAAAATGTAGTTTTCTTCATTCAGGTGGCGCCCTCTTTATCTAATTTAAAAATTGATAACATGCTTACAAAAATACCGCTAACTTAAACAGCAAAAAAATTTTAAGCACATTTATGCCACAAATGTAGCCTATGTAGCGCCCTCTACAAATTACATCGAAGTAGGTATCAGATTGATTGTTTGTGCCCAAAAACCTCTATTTCCAAATTTTTATGTACACATATCCAAAAATGTTAAAGTTATTGCAAAAAAGAAATATTAAAATTTAACTCTTAACACCCTGTATATTCCTCATTAGCAACATTTTATTAAAGCAAGTTGGTTTAAATCGTAATATTTTAAAGTGAGGAATCTACCATACTTCTATGTACAAATTCTTAAGTCACCCTGTATACCGGACTAACAAATTAAAAAAAAAAAAATCCCGTCGTCTCATGACTTGCATAATCAATTTTACATATATGATGAACAGTCGCAAATTCACGAACAATAAAACCACGAAATTGTTTATTCTTTGACGAACAATAAATTGAAGAAGCCAGCATGCCCTTTTTGGTCAGATGAGGTTGGGTGCCCGGTTACCGGTATGTTGATGATGCCGAAGATTATGGCGACAGCGTTATATTTGCAATATTCCACCCACCTCTCACATTGTTTACTTATTTTATATATTTTACGCGAAAACGCCTTCCTACTGGCGACCTCATTCGGATTTTTGTACGATTCGCGGAAAAATAATTATAAAGAAGATTTCACTGCCTCCCACATTGAGTGGAATTATGAACTGACTTTTTAATCAGAAAAAAATTTTACAAAATAAAATTAATTG